TTGTTTGGGGACAACACGAGACATCCCTTCCTAGTTATCTGACATGTTAGACCATTATACATAGTATAAATAAAGAAATAAAATATCAGTAGAAAATAAATAATGAGTAATGAGTGGTCTAATTGGTCTTGAAAAATTAATCGATTTCCCCTTTTTTTCATGAACAGCAACATTTACTGACACAGGAATTTGTACATGATCTAATTAGTTAATGATGATCACTGGGTGCCTTTGCGGAGATTATCAATTTTGTTCGCACGTGTTGCATACCGTTTGGGTATTTCATTTTGTTTTTAGTTTAGTTGCAGTTTTGAATAAATATTATTGTCAATAAAATGCCTTCCCTTAAGCCTTTCATAGTTTGGCAACGGTATTTTGAGTAGGGTTCCAATACGAAATTGATTGCAAAAATAATTCGGTATCAAAAGGCACAAAATAGCACAACATACAACATATATGCACTTTATCCACTTAAGTTGTTCAATGATTTACGCGAATTACAATAAACCATGAGTCGTCCTTTCAGTTCTATCGGCAAAACATTATGCAACTATGTCAATGTTTTCTTCACAAAGTATCGTTGACATCATGATTAGCGTCTGGTGGTGTAAACAGGAGTTTGCACAAGAGACATGGCCGCGTTCACACTAAACTGAGAGCGAGCGGTAAAAGTTCGATCTAAATGCCTCAAGGAAGATCTTATCCTATTTAATTCACTGGGTGGCAACGATTTTCGTATAATGACCTCGTATGGAACATACTGTTGAGGGGTCCGAAGGCTGGCTTATAGTATGTGACCATTGTCCACTGTTGTGGTCAGTCAGACATCGCCATGGCACAGGGACGAGAGTGAATTATATTTGAAGACGGGAACATATGTGAGAGCGATTTCTTTAAGACGTAGTCTGAGTATTTGTTGAAAGGGAACCCGTCCGCCAATAACATTCGCGTGTTTTCAATTTGAAGATTTAGCGTACGACGATGTAATTAACTAAAAAGTGTTATATAGTATAACATTTGTTATGTGTGAGTGTGTGAGCGAGTGTCTGTTTGTTTGTATTTGTATTGTCATGTTTTC